ATTTTGTACATGTAGATAAATCCATCTGAAAATTCTCCCTCCAAAAACTCCAGCCAAAGCCACTCTTTTTCTTGCAACGAACCTTCTCCGCTTTGTTTTAAAAACATGCAGCAACACTTCACCACCAATTCCGCCACCGTCGACTGGTGGTGGTCAATCGGTAACTTGTCCAGGAGATGCCTTAAAACTAGGCATCTGCGCCAATTTATTAGGAGGATTGATTTGAGCGTTGATTGGGGACCCTCCTACCACCCCTTGCTGCACCTTCCTGGCGGGGCTGGCTGAACTCGAGGCTGCAGTTTGCCTTTGCACAGCCATTAGAGCCAACGTTCTAGGCATCAATTTGAATGTACAAGTTTCTATCAAGAAATAAAAAAAGGATAAGCCCGCTGGAAGTTGCAGGGAAGAAGATGAACATTTCATTCATTCAACTTGGAGAAATTACAAAGCGTATAGTCTATTTATAGAGAAAAACTATCTAACAACCTAACTACATAATAACAGAAGAAGGATCTAGAATTGAAGAGCTGGAACATGTGAATAAGAAGCTGATGTGGAACATGCTGGTGTGGAACATATCTGATGTGCTGGAGAGAAGCATGTTGAACGTGTGAGCTGCATATGCCACTTGCAGGAGCTTGCTTGCATATATTTTAACAATTTCACTCGGTGTACTTCTCTATCTGTGTGGAAGAACTCCGACTGGTTTCACTTGTGCCTGATTAAACGATCTTCTCTAAGACATGATGTTGAATTTGTGCAATGCTTTATTTGCGCGTAACTGAAATTGTTCTTTGTTACCATGCATTGCGATCAAAATATAATTATAAATGAAGTGTTTTGTCTAATGAACAAATTTAAAGATGATCTATTCACTTTTTTTTTTTTAATTCTGTTTTTTGTAGAATGTTACGGCTAAATTACTTTTGTTGACCTCATTTCTTGCACGGATGACGTGGTCAACAGATTCGGTTCCATATAATGGGTGGGATTTTTTGATCAAAGTGTATTATCTATGTTGTTTGCCTCTGAAGAGACTGTCTTGGAGTGGAGTATTATGCATTGGTTGAGCTTGTGCCCTTTTGATCTTCTTCGATTGGGTAGAGATTGCGTAGCACAGAACTTCTGCCAATTAGTTTAAGACCCAGGTTGTATTTTTCCTTGGACAGGGTTGTATTTTTTTTTTTTCTTTTTTTTTTGTTTTGTTGGACACTGGCTACATGGAAATATAAAAGCAAAAAAATAAAAAAATAAAAAATCCAAAATTGATCCGAACTAAGTTGACATATATGATATTGATGTCCACCCAATTAATTATTGACACGTCATTTTAAATTAATAATGTCATCAATTCGGTGGGTTGCAGTGAAGTTAATAAGTGTAAATTTTGTTGACTTATGGTTGATCTAATATTTTGATTATAACAAATAAAGTATGTTTATCTCTAATATTTATATTTAAGTCTTTATTGTTACATGTTGCGAACTTAATCAAATTGAAGACAAAACGAGTGGACGAAAAGTTGTCGATCAAGAAAAACTCAAGATGAAAATCGACCACATTCACAATTGAGCACTCACGCCAAAACAATTAGAGACAAATTGCGCGCAATTTCAAATCGAGCACTCATACCAAATCAATCGAAAATATTTGAACTAGATGTTTTATCTCGTTTGTAAAGGTAAAATACTTTAATTCCTAGCAATGACACATTGAAAGCTCAAGTAAAGGACTTTGATGCACAAGAAAAACTTATTTCGTAAAATATTTTTGCATGAAAAATACTTTTTTAAAGGTAAGGACTATGACTTAATTTTCGATCATACTAAGCATTATTTACCTTAAAGTATTAAGTAAATATGTTAAGCAAAAATTACAAAATTGTAAACAAAACAAAAAATTGGACCTGAAAAGTTTATGGCCGTTCGAACGTCCGGACGGCGAACCGGACGTCTGGTTTGCAAGCAACGGTCAAGAATTCAACCGTTCTGACTGATTTTTAACGGCCACTTTTTAGGTCGTTTGGTACTATTCCGGAAGTTCGGTTGGGTCGTCCGATTAGGCAGAAAAGTTGGCGTTTCTCACTTCTATAAATACCAACTCATTTGCCATTCATTACAACAACTAGAGAACATTAAAGTGAAATTCTTTTCAGCAAAATATCATTGATTTCTCATCCTACTGATTATTTTCAAATCATTTTGTTTTGAAAAACTTTTGATTAAATCAATTCTTGAAAATCATTCAACACATCAAAACTTTTCGAAACCTAACACTTGAGTTCCACTCATTGTTATCTATTAAAGTGTTAACATATTTCTCTCTTGATACTTAAATTGTAATTATATCATTTATTAAGAGAGAGATTTCAATTTGTAAATTCAATTCTCCTTAAACTTGTGGATCGTGTTGAGATCCTGGGAAGCTTAACATTATAAAAGGATCGGTGTTCTTTACTCGTAAGTCATCGAAAACTTTGTAAAGAGTTGGATTGCACCACAAGTTAATTAACATAGTGAAATTGGCATTATTCGTGTCGGAGAGTTTGGTAACGGAGGATGTAGATCATTACATTGGATCGAACCTCCATAATTATATCATTTGCACTCTATGTCCCTCTTTACTTATTGCTTTTATATTCGTGTTTACTATTTGAATTAATCTATCTTGTTATCACGTACTCGATCTTAAGTTAGTTTTTCGAAAAAGTTTTAAAAACAAATCCACCATCCTTTTGAATAGTTAATCTTGGGCTATCAAATTTGAGATGATAAATTAATTTAAAAATGATGTGTCAATAATTAATTATGTGAATAATAAGTTAGACAACAAAAATTGGACAGTGAATCTCAACTCATTTGAACTACACCCCCTCTATCCGCCTCTACTCATAGTTATACGTTGCATACCTAGTTTTAGATTTGATTTTCTTTTGTTTTCATTTTTACGATTTATGTGGTGTAGATGGTTGCAATGATGGTGGTTTGTAATGGTGGCATGTGATTTACAGTTTGGATATGGTCAGGGGCGGACTCAGACATTTTGAGTTAGAGGATATAATTAAACTTATAAAAAAGTTGTGAGAAATTTTACATTAAAAAATTTATATCCAAAAAAAACCATATTCGACGTAATTTTACATTCGAAAATTTACATGGAGTATGACTTTTTTATATATAAAATTTTGAAAATTTTGATGTCATATCTCATGTAAAATTTTCTAATAAAATGATGTAAACTATATTGAGAAATTTGTATTACAAAAATAATAATAATTGAAATTTTTTAAAGAAAAAACAAGTTAGACCCCTCTTTTTAAGATTCACATTTGACTCATTTTAAACTATTTTCGTTATCTGTTTAGACCATTCGATAGGCCTATGATATAATTCTCGGAACTAAAATTTGTGGATTCGGCCAACATATGATCGTCGGAGAATTTTTAAAATTAGCATGTTATCGAAAAAAAAAAACTGGTCCCAAAGTTGGGGGGTCACATGACCTATGCCCACCCTTGTGTCCGCCACTGAATGTGGTGACATCGATGGTGGTAGGTGGTGGTGGTGGTTCATTGATGAATAAGTTATAATACAAAAGATTACATATTGTAATGGTAGAATATGTAATTTTCTTGTGTTGATGGGTGACGGATTGTAGTGATGGTGGTAAGATGAGGTAGTGGTGATTTTGAGATTGTGGTAATGTGCAATTGTGAGATAGAGGTACAACAATTTTAAGTTATAATTATAACAAAATAAATACTCCATAGCTTCAATAACATTACATAAGTTAAAATTTAAATTGTAAAGTAACATAGTACTTTTCTTATAAAGTGATGTAACAAAATTAAATACTCTATAGCATCAATAACATAATGTAAGTTACAATTTAAGTAAAACAGTACTTTTCTTATAAATTGATTTAAATATCATTTTCAACACGCATTAATTGGGTTAATACCAAGTTTCGACTATCATCAAATTCATGATCCTAGCTCTCATAAACTTAGGGTGCATTTGATTGTCAATATTTTCTATAAAAAATGTATTTTTTCCATTTAATTTTCTGCTTTTGTGCTGTTTAATTGACAATTTTTCCACGAAAAATATTTTCCTACTTTTGGTCACATAATCATATTTTCCTTAAAAATAAGAAAACATTTTCTTTATGAAGAGATGATTTTTATTTTCCAAGTAATTCACTATATCCCATCTCTCATCCAATCCCCAATAAAAGGGGAAATCTATTTGTACCGAAAAAATTGTACCGAAAACGTGCCCTTCTCTCACATGTGTGCGGGCCCCACGTGAATAAAAAATCATTACCTTGTGGTCCCCACATCCTATTGTGAGTGTAGGTAAAAAATTAGGTAAAAAAAAGTGTAGATACATATAACATTGTCCCCAATAAAATATGGACAAGTACAATCTATTTTAGGTTGAAAACTAAACCAAACAAACACATTTAATTAATAATTTCATACAAATAAATTTTAGGCAATTAAATTATCTATAATTTATTTATTTTCATGCAAATTCCATGCTTGTCATCAAACGTGCCCTTATTGAAGTTGAATTTCAATTATCTCATCTAAAATCAATAGTTATTTAATGAAGGTGAGCGCTAAACCTTCTCATAGCATTCGATCACCATTACTTAAGTGATTGTCTTAAGAGTGATCATGTTGCTCCTCCATGAAATATATGTGAAAATAATTGCTCCAAAAGTGACATCTAAAAAAGCTGCTGAAAAAATTGTCAATTTGTACCGCCACGATGAATATACGTCAGCATTATAACTCCCAATAACCGCTGCCGGAAAGCGTATAACCGTCGCGCCCCTTATGGGAGGCACTTACTCCTCAAAAGAAAACGAACCAGAAACTCTGGAAAATTACTGCAAAAATGTCTAAAAGATCCGACATTCTGCAGAAGAAACTGCAGGAACTAGAATCAGAAGTTCTCCAGGTGATCCAACTTCCACCGGAAACACCAAGCCGCCATTTGATCTCCGAAGGGATTGAGCAGCGTTTCGTGTTCTTGAAAAATCTTTTATCCGCAGAGATTTCATCTCAGCCGTCAAAGCCTCACCACTTGCACCACATTGCAGAGAGACTCGTCGGACTCGAGGCCGCCTTTAGGGACTGGGATGAATCAAGAAACTATTTGGAATTGAACAATTATAATTTTGATACTTCGTCAGTATGTTCTGAATGCACTCGGACGTGTAATTTGAATGGTGATGCAGAGGCTGTGTGTGAATCGGATTCCTCAACTGACGGCTTCCCGGCCGAGTTTCTGGAGACGGTTATGGACGAAAAGGCGCTGGAGAAGATGGAGACAGAGGGGAGAATTTCGGTGATTGGAAAGTATTGTGGAATGCTCACTTGTGGGATGATTCTTGGCGCTCTTTGCATGAGTTCTTTCATGGTACAGTATGATTTTGTTGAACAAAATTTAGGTTTCCTTCCTCCGACGTAGTATGATTAAACTGACAGTTTATATTAGGTTTTTGTTGCAATTTGAATCAATTGTAAGAAAATATTGCATAATTGACACAGCATGACATTTTATTAATTTCAATGATAAGAGACGTACCATTTTATTGCTTTTTGTTTGTATGAATTTGAATTATAAAGATTTTTATCAATAGAAAAACTATTTAGGTTGTGATTTTTATACGGTAAAATTTGATCATAAAGTTTCAAATATTTCTTTTATTAGCAATATTAATTTTTCTTTTTTTTTTTTTTGGGAGGTACTANTAAGTTTTTATTTTATTTTTATTTTTAATATTTATTTTTTTTTTTTTTTTTTTTGGGAGGTACTAGATTGAATTTATTTTTAACAATCTGCAAAAAGATTATGCATATCATGGTAGATTTTGTTTCATTGAATCTATATACATAAGAATATGGACTTTGTAGCCAACCTTAGTGCCTATTTTCTTCTAGAATCTATATTTTTTTATTTGTTTAGTCTTCTGCACGTGAAAATCGACTCCAAAGAAAGTATATGTTACAGCACAAGAGAAATGATATTTGTACCGAGGGGGGACTACCAAATTGTGTCCCCCCTCTCACATGAGTTGCGGGCCCCGCGCGCATTAAAAAATGTCGAGTTGATGCCCCAGCCCCCGATGTGAGAGGGGGGATACTATTCGATAATCCCCCATCGGTACATGTTGTACGGCCCATAGCACAAAGCAAAAAAGAAAGTAGGGCAAAACCCACTAATGTAAGTAAATTAATAATAATTTAAGTCTTTGATTCTTATATGGTTAATGAATGAATGTACACTGAAATCTGAATATTTATTTGAGTGGAAACTAGGGGACCTCCATTGCGAAACCGGGGATTTCTCCCACTGGGAAACGTCCCTTGTTTCGTAGTAAACTTGGGGGAGAGATACAGTTTTTTTTTTTCACAAATTTATTTATATAGGTAAAAAACTTGACTACGTTAGTCCTTTGACTTTAAGCCGTGAACCATATTAGTCCCGCAAAGAAATTCTGTCCAAAATTTCCAACGAGTGTCCTACATGGACAACATATTGAGAGAGATGCTTGATGTATACTCTTAGGTGTACATCATGCATTACACTTCTCTCACAATAGTGGGGGGCCCGCAATTTAAAAAATTTCGAACCCCACACTCCATTGGGAGAGGAGTGTAAGTTTTAATGTATTCAAGAGTGTACAATAACACTTTTTCATTGATTAATTGATGGAGTGACATCCCAACTGATATTGTTTTAACATTTAATAAACCAACGAGGGTAAGACCAAGTACTTTCATAATCAAGTGCAATAACAAGTTTGGGATCATTTTTCTCACATATTGCCAAGTTTTATTTACATACACTAGAGTTTCTAAAAAGTTTAAGGTGTGAAAAGACAAGCACAAGATCAAATCTCAAACTCAAGGGGCATGTGCCTATTTTTTTTCTTTTTATTTTATTTAAAATTAAAAAGTTTTTAAATATGAAAAAGAAAAAAAAAAAAAAAAAATAGGCACATGCCTTTTGTACCTAGGCTTGCCTTAGCCCGCATTAAGAAATCAACAATTAAATTGATTTCCTTTTACAAACCTTCTCAAAATGCAAGGTTTTTCCTTCATGCCTTGTGCCTAGGCCACGTTGGAGGAGAATGGTCTCATTCGTTTTCTTTTTCCTTTTTCTCTTATTTTTATTTATTTATTGTTTTTTAAGACCGGGAACCTATATCTACACTCCTGCAAAGGTTGAGGACCGTAGCCCTAATTTTCCCATCATTTATTGGTTGGTAGCAATATTGAATGGGCCCATGTGGGCCAGAACAGGGTGGCCATAATTGTCCAACCAATCAATCTGAGTTTCTAACAGTAAATTGGGCCTAACTCTCGCCAACTACAAAATTCCAGCTGGCCTGAAAAACGACAAGAAAAATGGTCCCACACAAACGTGGCCACGTCAATTTTACAATGCAGGCAAAAATGACGCGCATTCCGTGCCCAAAGTCGCCATCCACGTGTCTCTGACTCAAAAACACTTTTGTAGTTCTAAATTTTAATTGTTAAATAAATAATTAATAAAATAACATGTCCTATATGGCTCGTGAACAATTGATTGCGCACAAGTTATACACGTCACCAAATTTAAATAAGTAGAATTTTATTTTATTGTAATATAATTTTAATTTTATAAAAAATTAATTGTTTGACAGACTTTTCATTAAAAGTTCAGCATATATTGATAAAAATCAACAAATTATACTTAAATTGAAATTTGACTGGTCAAAAAATTGAAATTTTTATACTTAGTATTTAAATTTTTTATTGTTAAATGCAAACACAACATAATGATCTTTTATGCAAAATTTAAAAAACACGGGGATAATTTTTTCAGACTATAAACTTCGATTAAGAACGAGCATCTCATGGGAAAAAAATATTATATGAATTTGACTTTTTTTACATTACTCGATCCTTCTAAGAAATTTCTTATTATTATTATAGTGGCAAAAAGTAGGGGTGCTAAGTGGGCAAGCGGTACGACAAGCAACAAGTTTCTCTTGTGAATTATTTATCGGCTCTCATGAGTGGGCTCCAGAATCGAGCGAGTTCAACTCACCATAATAAGTAATATATACCATTTTTAGTGAAAAACTATGCTCTAACGAATAAAATATGCTGAGAGTAAGTGGATTCACAATTAAAATATTATATTGGTTGAAAGTGAATTCATTAAAAAAAAAGGAGGTCTGAAAAAGCGTTGTGGGGTTGAAATTTTCCACAAGGAATCTGTATTAATATTGCTCATATTTTCCAAGCTCTCCGCCAGCATTTTCTTGTTCAGGTTTCAAGAAAGGTGACTTTCACTTCCTTGTTTTATTTTCTTGAAGGCTGTGTATCTGCATTGGCAAATTTTTTGACAAATATTGGTTTCTTATTGGGTTTTCTGAATTGGGCTCAAGAAAATCAGCTGCATTTGTATACTTGCATGTATGTATGTAGGGACGTGTAATTATATTTGTTTTTCTTATCGTATTTTATGCGATTGCGATTGCGATTGCTATTGCTATTTAATTTTCTTTTGTTTGTATTGAAGGATTATTAAGCATTGGTGTTGTATAATTTTTTTAATTTTATTTTTTCATTTAATATCTGAAACGGGTATGTTTTTGAAGATTATTTAGAGATTCTTTTAATAGGAAAAACTTGGTTTCTAATTTGAAATTTATATTTGGTTCCTTAAGAAACTTGCCAAGTCTCGATTTTTAATTCTATTATAACTCTGCTTCCTCTGTCTTCTGAAGAAATCCAGTTCTTGTTTCCATTTGGGGAATGACATTTTTGATGGAATTCTCAAAGTAATTGTGTTTTTTTTTTTTTCGAATTCTAAAGTTGGAATGGAATTCAGGCATAATTTTGGCTAAATTAACATTGTTATCCTATTCAGGTATTACATATCGTATTTTCTAACTCTTGAGTTGGATATTATATGATAATTTAGTAGTGTTGGTTTTGAAATTGAATATTAGTTATTACTGTATTTCTCCCAACGGCAAGACAGAAACAGAACATTGATTCTATTTTGTTTGCCAATGAGCTTTATTTGCTTTCCCCTTCATTTTTAAATATTGTCCTTTTCAAGCCTATTATTTTCCAGCTGAGTCACTGTACAACGACATGAATGGGACAACATCTTGTCTGTATTACACTCTTAATCGCTTCCATAGTTTTCAATCCACGATAAAAGTTATTTATTGTACAAATATTTTAAGCATTATTTTACTAGTATTGGTACAAGAGAGGAAAAGGAAAGAAGGTTCAGAGGTAAATTTTGTTTTCTTAAGCATTTGTAGCAGATCCATTGATCACGCCAGATTATGAATAATGCTAAGTGTACATTGTGGGGTTGACATTTTTGTGTACATTCCATTAGAGTTCAAAAAGTGTTGGGCGGGAAAGTGTGTTTTTTTTTAAAACTGTCAAATCATGTGTTGCTACGTAGTATAATGTCAAAAATGACGTAAAAAAAATGTATATGTGGTATGATTGACAGATTATTTGATAGCTACAAGTTACAACAGTGTGGGGACGCCTCATTTTTTTCGTTTCTGTTTCAAATATCATGGTTTAGTTGCATTGTGAATTTTAATGTGTTTGGTCCCTGTGTTTAATTTTCCCATGCTACCGTGTAGGGCCATTTTATGCAGTTGCATATGGCATTGCTTCCTCTATGATACTGCCCACTGGATACCAAAGTTTTCTATACTAAATATCAGTTAGTGCTCCAATCTTTTAGGCCCTGAGATTCTGTCTGAATAATCACTCATGAACGTTTAAATCCACAGGTTCATACGTTTATTGCTTTAATATATTTTTGCTTCCAACAAAGATATTCGATGAAGTTTTATAACTGCCTTCTTGAGTAACCAGTGACGATTCTCCACTCACTTGACAAGAAATTAGACATCCATTATTGCATCTGCCCTCTTTTCAGATGTCAATCATCTTCTGTAGATGAACATTTGTTGCCAATTTTGGAATGTAATCTCTATCTCTGGTTTAGACCATTCAAACGCACACTTCATCCGAAGGCTGTCAAAGGATTAATTTTATAAGTTCTACCTGTAATAGAACCCTTAAAATAAATATTTTGATTAGCAAGTGATGCCTAGATTTACATATTTCCTCAACTTGCTCTTTTTATTGATTACTTGCGCCTTCTGTTGATTTGACTCTCAAGCAGATCCCTTCGGCCATTTCTCATTAGATCTTGGATTTTTTTTTCTTGTTCTTTTATTTTAGCTCTTCACCCCTTTCTTTGATTCGTGAAGCTTTGAGAAATGATTAACACTATTATTAAATTAAGCTGAGATATATGTGTTAGCAGAAAAGATTACAACACATATACAAATGCATTACCATCGTCATGTATCTCACCACGTCATTTAAGAGGAAGAGAAGATGTTGAAATAAGATTTTGACTTGGATTACGGTGACTGTGTTGGTTTTCAATTTCCTTTCTCTAATTGGTAACATCTTTTTATGACATTATTTTTCAGGTATCTTTTGATTGATTGACAGCTTTGTAGACAACATCGATAAAATTACTCATAAGAGGTGGTTTATTTGACTAAAGAGCTGATTTTTACCGGCTGAAACAGTACTTGTCTTTGTTAGCCAATAAATCTGCATGGATCTGAAATCTAATCATACATCGCCTGTTCTTACTGACTCTGCTCCGATGAATAACTCGAGATTAGGCACCAATTCATCTCTTCTTCCATACTCTCCCACTGGTTCAGTATTTTCTCGCTCTCTCTCCCTTGCAATCCCAAGGAGAAGGCCTGGAATACTTGATGATGTTCGATCAAGCGTGTTGGATGCCATGAAATCATCATCTCCGACTCATACCACATTAACTAAAGATTCCAGCACGGATTTAACATTAAGTGATGGTGACGTTGCTTATCGCAATTGGATGGTAATTTCCTCCTGTTTGATATTTTCCTCAAGTGTTAGCTTTGATTTTAGACGAGGCAAGAGTTTACATGTCCTGTTTGGTTCTGTAGATAAAGTATCCATCAGCACTGGCATCATTTGAGCAAATAGCAAATGTTGCAAAAGGAAAGCGATTAGCCTTGTTCTTGGACTATGATGGGACTTTATCCCCAATCGTAGACAACCCAGATCATGCATTCATGTCAAATGCAGTAAGATTCTATCCACACAGCTCTTTTAGGCATGGGAAGGCATATGTTACAAAATTGTCATTTGTCCCCTTCCCTCTGAGTTCTTTCTGAAACTACGTAACTTGTTTACAGATGCGTGATGCTGTAAGAAATGCATCAAATTATTTTCCAACGGCAATAATTAGTGGGAGAAGCCGTGATAAGGTGATTGATTTACTTCTTTTTGATTCTTAATGTGTTGATATCATTGCTCCAACTTTAAGTGTTGACTTCTTGCATAGATCTATATTGAATGTTTTCTTTTTCTTCTCATATTCCACTTTTTTAGGTTTATGAGTTCATAGGACTGACAGAACTTTACTATGCTGGAAGTCATGGGATGGACATTATGTGCCCTGTTCGGTCCATTTCTAACGACTATGTGAATTGTATTAGGTCATCTGAGAAGCAGGTAATTATATGAGATATCTTTCTTACAGGAATCTTTTATCTCAGTTATTTATCAAGATAAACTTAATCTTTTTTACCTGTGGGTAAGTAGGGCAAAGAGGTTAATTTGTTCCAGCCTGCTAGTGAATTCTTGCCTATGATCGACGAGGTATGTAAATGTCACCATACATTTATATTGTCTTGGAAGAAATATTAATTTATCTGAAGGTTTTTACTCATGCCCAAGTCAGGTTTTTAGATCCCTTGTCGAAACTATGAAAGGTGTAACTGGTGCAAAAGTTGAGAACAACAAATTCTGTGTTTCTGTACACTACCGTAATGTACACGAAAAGGTATGTTCTCCGTTTCTTGGAATTAATATTTCTGATGAAATGCTTTTTGTTATTGTCATTTCTGATTAAAGTGTGCTCTACTTTCATCTGCTTTCCTTAAAACAATCACAGAGTTGGAAAGTAGTCGGTCAATATATTGAAGAAATTTTGAAAAACTATCCCCGACTGCGGCTGACACATGGTCGAAAGGTATTGCTTATATAACAGCTTAAAACTTCTGTATATCTTATAACTCGCAAGTTCCTGCTTTTCACTGGTTCAACTGTTCTACTCGTTTAGGTTTTAGAAATTCGACCAGTGCTTGACTGGGACAAGGGCAAGGCAGTCGAGTTTCTACTTGAATCACTTGGTAAGTGAAAAATATCGACCTTGTCACGAATGTGCTTTCTTTTCCTTAAAAGGTTTCTAATGGAGATAATGTGCTTAATACTGCAGGATTAGTTGATTGTGACGATTTTCTTCCCATATACGTTGGAGATGATCGCACTGATGAAGATGCATTTAAGGTAAATGTTAACATATCAAGAGCAGATTGCCAATAGGGTGACCTTTATGTGCTTTCAGTGCGCAGTTGTAGACTTGACAGCACTGGATAGTATAAAAAACGAGATTCGAACTTTTTGTTTTCTTCCTTAGCCACTGTTTGTACCATTATTTCAGAACTCTTTTTTTATCAAACTCATTTTCATCCACATATTCTCACAATAAAATATTTTGCACGTAAAATCAAAACTTATTCTACTTTTTAACCATACATTCTTAAAAAATTCAGTATATCAACTCATTTTCATTCAATAAGGGTAGACAAACAAGGGCTTATATGTCCACTGTTATCCAATCCTCCGTCCAAACACTGAGTGGCATAGTTAATCAGACATCACAAGAAATCTAACTGATTGACGTGTTGTAGGTTTTGCGAGAGGGTAATCGAGGTTACGGTATATTAGTTTCTTCCACACCAAAGGAAACCAATGCATTTTACTCTCTCAGGGATCCATCAGAGGTACTAACAATTTATGGACAGTTTCATTTTGCTTCTAGTTTTGAAGAGAATTCTGAACCTTGGAAAAATAATTTGTCTCTGTAATAACACATGCAGGTCATGGAATTTCTCAACAACTTGGTGAAATGGAGGAACACGAAGTACTCTAGGATTCTACTGTGATACTGGAAGGGAGTACACTTTTGGATTAACAAGTATACAAGAAAATTCTTATGTTGTCTTTTTAAAAAAATAAAAAAAATTAAGAGTTTCACGCGAGTTTAGGAGAAGTGTCTATTGAAGCATATCCGGAGGCAGTGATGGGAGTAATAATTTGTTCTCCTCTGCTGTTTTTTTCCCCACATTCTTTCGTCTCTCGTCCTCTTTTCGGCTGCACAAATATGCTGCCGCACATATGTGGTTTGTTTGGCGAGGAATTGTAAAGTACAAGGTTGTATTGAAGAAGAAAAAATAGTTAAAATTTTGTTCATTGTATTTTTTTTATGCATTAGTGCAATCTAAATCAAGAAAGAGAAGAAAAATGTGCAAAAAAGTATAGTTTGTAATTAGCATAAATATGGTCTCGAAAAAGCACAAATACAAACATTAGAATAATATTCGGAAAAATAAAATTGGAAAAGATTCTAAGGACTCTTTCAAACGAAATAGCCTTTCGAAAAGCTATTCTGAGGCCACCATTCTTAGTAAAGGCTTTTGATTATAGCGGGTGGCCTTAGCGCCTTGAGATTATCATAACAAAGATCTCAACTATGCCATCAAAAGTAAGCTTTCGTAGGTTACGTCCATTGCATTCTTCACTAGTAAATATAATACAATGATAGGGTTATTTCACTCATGGCCAACGAACACATTCATAAATTAAAATATTATGCATATAAATTCAAAAATTTTCCATACTTTTTAAATATATATCCTCCTAAAAATTATTATATAAAACATTATTTTTGACAAATAATGATTGTCAAGCAGGGCTTTTATCTACGTGCATTTCACACTTGAGACAAATTGAAAATGGTAAAACATTATTTTTTGACAAATAATGATTGTCAAATAATGATATTGAAGTTGACCTTCTAGCATCAATATTATATTCGATACAGTAAATCAAGAAAAGAGTCGACGGGACAAAAAATAATTACATTGGATTGATACATTTTTTTACCTTAAAATAATTAAATGGGCGCTAAACGTGCGCTTTCTCGAGAGCAACAATACTATGTTCCTTACATTAATATAAAATTTTGCTTCTTAACAAGAATTAACAGGCCAAAGTATTGATATGTAGAAATGTGTTTTCCTTCGTGGACAAACACGAAATGAGAACAATCGTCTGATAACGTGTTATAAAATTACGAAATAATACNNNNGTGTTATAAAATTACGAAATAATACGGCACTAAGAAGAGAGAATACAAATGAGTAAACTAAGAAGAGAGAATATGAGAGAGTATTTACTAATGAGAAAAAGACTCCATATTTATAGTATATAATTTGAACTACATGACAAACTAGTCATCCATAAAAGGGTTAATATCTCATATAGTCACTGAACTTGTACAAAAATTTTTAGGAGGTCACTGAACTTCAAATTTCCCCTAAATAATCACTGAACTTGGTAAATTTTGACCCAATCCGTCACCGACCTCAAAATCAAGCAATTTTTGATGATGTGTAAGTGATATGGCACACGTATTTTGGCCAAATAAGTAAAACATGATGACTTTGGACTCTTCTCTCTCAAAGACTCAAACCTACTGAAACTGGACACCACCTATCACCTCAAACCACCAAATTCCGGCTGTAACCACCTATTTCCGGGAGACTAAACGGCCGGATACCACCATAGCCAGCATCACCGGTCACAAACCTACCGAAATCAGTGACAAAATCAAGCCAAAACAGAAATTTAATTCATACTATTTGCAAGTTCCAATCCAGAAATTGGAGCGACTTGGGGGATAATTGGTGCAATTGAATTCATACCCAGTATCGTTTGGGCCTGTTGTTGGATCAGGTGATGCCAATTTGTGGGTTTAATGAAGTTCGGGGCTGGAATTGAAGGAGACGGTTTTGACAAAAATGGAGGCGCGACTGTCGAAGGTTCATGGGCAAGTGCAGATTGATTGGACATTTTTTTGGTTGAGGTGAAGCCATATTTGAGGTCGCCTATTCAAGAGCTACCTGACTGTGTTGGTGCACAACCGTGGGTGTCGCCGGAGGTTGGGATTCCGGCCAAGATAGTGTGTAGTTGTGGCAATCGAGCCGAGCGGCTCGTCGGCTCAGCCGCTCGGCTCGTACTGTAGCTGCCCACGAGCCACTCGGGCTCGTCAAGAAACGAGCCCGAGCACGAGCCGAGCAGGCTCGGTAGGAGAGCCGAGTCTGC